TTTTTCATTCTCGTAACTCATTAAGCCGAACATTTATTGAAAGTTTTGTCAGGATCGGATGTACGATGTCGGAGATAATTTCTGAGGGGAGAGCCCTTAATAAGCTAGCACTTACAAGTAAATCTGTTCACAGAAGTTAAAAATTAGAGATTTAGGATAAACTACAGGGATTGTGTAGATTCTGTTTGAGCAACTTAGTACTGATATTGGAAATGTCCTAATAACCTATGTTAATCGATAAAAGTATAAATTCTATAATCGAACTCCTCAACACAATTTACACAAACTTTCTGATGAATAAATAATTGATGTTGTTGATACCAACGTGGAACTGAATCAATCGCTCTTTGAATTTTATTCAGAAACGAGTCATCACAAGTGTTCTCACGCCTTTTCCTTGAAACATACTTCATCACAAGTAATTTTTCTACACTAATCGCAATGTTGGTGGTTTTTCCAGATGATATATCTTTCGTGATTGGAGATGCAGAAACCACTAAAGCTTCGAGCACGACAGATTCTCGTACAGATCCGATAATCATTATACATGGATAACTCAATGTGCTCTACATACTGACTATATTAGAATCTGTTTAACTCGAAGTGTTTATTAGTACTCTAGAAAGTTGGTGTCTGTAGACTCAATCAACAGAGGCATATTGTTCGAATCTGATCTGGAAATTACCTATGATCAATTAAGTTTCAAGAAAAAACCTTTAGTTTACGTTACAAGAAGCGAAGAACATATTAAAAAGGATAAAATGTGATTCTCCGTGAGAACATTTTTATGAAGTATTATATCAATGACTTGTCTATTATTTTTCTCAGGAACTCATATCGACATGGTTCGTGGTCGCGGTTTATTGATTAACGATCTAGAAGTAGATGATTATGACACTCATCCACTTATATTTGGTGATATTACTGTATTTAGAAGCGGACTATTTATCATAATAAATTCAACTGATTTTTTGTTAAAATGGGATGAAAAGACACGAGTTTATGTCACTGTCTCACAGCAATATCTTGATCGAACTAGCGGATTATGTGGAAATAATAATGAGGATCAGAGTGATGATTTAATAACGGCAAGTGGTGTTATAGGAAGTATTGATGATATGGCTCGATCCTGGCAATTATCGTCACAGTGTGCCTCACTCAACAATTATACGGCTGATAGTTCTGATCCATGTTTTGGACATGACGAGAGACGTTCATGGGCAACGACAAATTGTGACATTCTGACATCAACGTCCCTTAACAGTCTTTTTAAATTATGCATAGAAAAATTAGATTCGACTCAAGTTGACTCTTATTATAAAAGTTGCCTTTCTGACGCATGCAGGTGAGTGATTATACATAAACTCTATTATTTATATAAGAAGTGCTAGCTTATTAAGGGCTCTCCCCTCAGAAATTATCTCCGACATCGTACATCCGATCCTGACAAAACTTTCAATAAATGTTCGGCTTAATGAGTTACGAGAATGAAAAAATCTTTTTGTCTTCAAGTCTTACCATTCAGGAGTTTGCCAGAGATCAAGGTCCAAAAAGGACCCTGAAGTACTTTCCAAGAGTTTTTAATATACTTCAAACTAGAGAGTCCGGGTTTGTTTGTTTTAAGCTAGACACCTAACTACATGGTGTGACCGGCGCCGATTTTTCAATTAAGCCTTTATTGGTTTTCCAGGCAACCAACAACCTCCAAAACCTGAAAACTCCTTCCGGATTTTATAAAAATCCTCAGTTGGACAAAAAACTAAGATCTAATTCAAAAATCGGCGCCGGTCAGACCATGTAGTTTCTTTTCCTCTTTTAAACAAAAAAGAATGAACTCTCTACGACAAATCGCTATAAAAAATCTTGGGAAATACTTCAGGTGTAACTCTTA